GCCACACATCTACCACTCCTCACGCACTTCACTCACGCACACACACACACACACACACACACACACACACACACACACACCACACACACACACACACACAACACACACAACACCATTGCATGAACGCACACCAACACACACACACACACACACACACAGACACACACACACACACACACACACACACACCACACCACACACACACAGCATCACCACACACACGACACACAAACACACACACACACATCCACACAATCAATTTCAGCCACACCACACAACAACCCGCACACACAACACCCACCATATAAAAGAGTGACGGCAAGTATGATACCTCTAGCCTTTGAGCTAATGAACTATGCTTAGGCCCAGCCCTCAGGGTCGGTATTCAACGTACCGGCCTGCATTCATCTTGATAGGCTGAGCGCCATGGCAACTTATTCTGCGCCAAGCAGAGGATTGGGCAATTAGAAAACTGTTTCTACAAGCTAAAAATTGGCCGTCAAATAAGTCACTGTAAACTTCATGTGTGGGGCTGTGCAAGGAAAAGAAGTGGTAGGTCAGGAGTATGCAAGATTTCAATTCAAAGATTCGAAGATTGCAAGTTAAGAGCAGGCAGAAAACAACTAAGGGAATGCCAAGGTACATTATGTGAAAGCGTAATACCACAGGGGCCAGTAAACCTGGGCAATATGATGAATGGCCAATAGCTGCCACCCAAACATAAGCCAGGACTATGGGTTATTTTTAATAAACAGTGGCAGAGATGATTTAGACCAACACAAATCACTTTTTTAAATAAAGAGGCAGGCATGACTGGGGTGAAAACTGTAGGAATGAGGCTAACTGGCAGGGTGTTCATTCTTGAACTCCTTGCTCCCATTTCTTACCGCGGCTTTTTAAAAGAAAGGTGTTTAAGATGGAACTGGGCCCGGATCAAATAAGGGCAGAATGGATTTGAGTCAGAAAGTATGAACAGGTCGCCAAAGAGGAAGTGGTGAGTGGAGAAACGGGGAAATGAAATGTAGCAGCTGCGGAGGCACGCATGAGCATGCCGGGTGATCATAATGATGACATTGCATGGGACACTTGACTGCAGTACTGAGTAAATACAACTGCCCAAAACAACAGAGGAGGAAAGGGAAGACACTTGAAATGTTTTTGAAAACATTCCCAGAAAAGGACAAGCTTATCATGAGGCCCCAACAAAAGCCAGAGAAAACTACATTGAGACGTAGGCATAGAAATCAGAAACAGTCCAGCCCGCAACAGGATCAAATGGTATCAATGTTTATGATATGCATGAAATATTCACCTTTATAACACACTTTGATTATGCTTAAACTTCATTTGTTAATATAGATTAAAAGCAGGTGTAATTAAATATATACACCCCCAGAAAAATCTTTTTGTAACTGGCCTGCAAACACATTCTAATTGTTAATGTTTTAATTGGGAAAGTTTATACGGATTAGCTCACTTTCCTGAAACCGGCTCAATTACACAATTACGCGGCCCACTTACTCATTACCTCGCGAAACTCACTATCACACATGCACGAGCAGCATCATTCTAGTCACATGCACACACACCAGGCTTCGAGTATGTACTTTTCTGCTACGGAAGGTATTGGCCTGGTGGCGAACAACACCAGCACACAACCCACACAGCGCACGCAAACAACACAGATTCTACCAAACCTTGCACGTTCGGGCAGCGGAGCACACACGACACAGATTGATTTCAGTTCACAAACCAAAAAAAAACCTAACATCTTACACGCGTCCCATCCCCCGCCCCTGCCTCAAATGCCTGGCATTGGACTGCCTTTAATTTATTTTATTCTCTCCTGAAGTAGTAGAGTAGCTCAGATATTGCGCACTTGAGTAAAGTACGAGTACGAGAAATGTAAGCGAATACAGCTATTACGAAGTAAAAGTCCTGCAATCAAAAATGTTACTCCAGGTAAAGAACAAAACTTTAATTATTAGCATCTAATAAAACTTAAACTACCAGAAGTAAAAGTACTCATCGTGCATATTGGTCCATTTCAGAATAATATATATTACATGTTTTGATTATAATTATTGATGCATTAAAGTGTTATCAAAGTTGGTAAAGGTGCAGCTAGTTTTAATTTATTTGTAGCTTGTGAATTTACTCCAGCTTGAACTAAAGTCTGATTGAAGTGTAGATTATATTTCACATCATTAATGGAAGTACATAGCATGAAATTAAAATACTCAACTAGTAAAGACATTTTAAATTGTACTTAAGTACAGTACTTCAGTAAATGTACTTAGTTACTTTACACCTCTGTTTATTTCTGTAAAGTAACATGGTGACATCTCTTCGTAACACTCAAGCTTCTATTGGCTAGCGCTCCAACACATTGTACGTGATAGGCTAAGTGTTTTACCAATCATAAAAGAGCCGGCCAGCTAACCAATCAGAGCAGACTGGGCTCTGGTTTCAGACAGAGGGTGAAAAGAGGTGCTTCAGCACAGGCAGTATGAGAAAAATAAAGACCTTTTTGAACATTAAAGCATGGAAACATGTCACAGATGAGGCACAAAATACAAATATGAAACCTGAAAATTGGCATAATTGAATCCCTTCAAAGACTGTGAAAAGTAGTTTATTTAAATGTTTTCCCCTCCTGTCTGTACTTGCTTCACATTTGACTATTTTAGAGCAGCTTTGCCCGCTCTGGAGCAGGAGTACCGCTTCTGGATGCAGAACCGCTCTGTGGCTGTGACGCTGAACGGGGCTGAGCATGTACTGAACCGGTATCATGTGCAAGTGGGCTCCCCCAGGTACACCGGAGTAAATAATGAACAATTGTAAGATGTCTTTGGTATGCAGAGTTGGCCTTCACTTCGATTAACTTTTGTTTTTGTTTTCTTTCAAGGCCTGAATCGTACACAGATGATCTGGAATTAGCTGAAGGACTTACTGAAGGTAAAGGCTTTATTGCCGTTCATATTCTGCTGATTGAATGAATCTTTTCGAGAAGGGCTATGGTCTTGGTTTTATTCCATGAGAGATGAACTAAAGGGTATTGCTGAAGGGTGTATTTAAGCAATAGCTCACGACAGGCCGTGGTATATTCTCATTATATCACAGCTAAGGGGCGTGGTTTGGCCCGACGCGAAGCTACCTTGTGATTCTCAGGTTGCTATTACGTTGTAGTTCGTGTTTTCAGCTCATGAAAGTACATTTTGACATTTTGCTCCCCTAAAAATATTTTGTTTTTGTTCTACCCTCTTTTTGTCACGAATTCTAAAAAACAAGTTGGCATTGGAAAAAATGCCTGAACTAAAATAACAAAACCCAATGCTGTGTCGGTGACTTTGTATGTGACTATGTCGATTGAGATAAACTTAACGTCATTTCGATCTCTCTGTCTGTAAACACAAACTGAGTAAGATTGACATTAAAGTTGACTTTGACTTACAGAGAGATCGAAATGACGTTAAGTTTATCTCAATCGACATAGTCACATANATACTCACACTATAAAAACGGTAATCCCAGTAACCACTTCACTAGAACATGCATGATCTTTTGACATCATCTCGCGTTGAGCAAAACTTTTACCTTTAAACAATTATAGGCTATTATTTCAACTAACAAAAGAATATAAGAAGAAGACCAAGGGTCCGAGGTAGGTAGTGGCAAGAGACAAGCCGACCCCAGGACGCAAGCGCACGCCACTTAGTTACGAAATAAAAAAACCCATGTTTAATGTTTATTTCAGTTACCATATACCATACTGTACTTCAACACGAAAGTAAGACCTCAGTTATCCTAATGTAAGTAAGACGGACGTTGACGTTTTACTAACACCCCTGACGTGGTCTGTAGGTACATCGACCGGGGGGTCATTCTACTTCTGGTCCGTTCCGACACGTGTACGCATCAGTCTGTCATGTCGACCGACGCCAATCTCACTGTACTTTCTTAAACACTACCTCTATAACCATTAATTACCCTCTTTTTACTGACTGGCCTACGTCTTTTGAAAAAAATAAATCCTTGTCACTAGTCCACCTTCGTAAATAGTAAATGTATACACAGTGTGAGATTTTCCGTTTGTGGGTGTGACAAACGGTTGTGTGGACAAATTCTCGAGACAGAGTCAACTGTCGAGGTGACAGGCCAGGAGAAGCATGGGCGTTCGGGCGGAAAGACTCCTGCGCGTATCCTACACCTACCTTCAGGGTGGTATGGTCGTGTCGTGGTTTTTAACGACCGAAGTTCGGAATGGGTAGCGGGAAAACATTGACGGTGACTCCGTAAACAGGCGACCGATGCCCCGACAGCTACCGTCCGAACGACTCCAGAGCGGAGGCAGGCGTAACTCCGTCCTTACCGGAGCCGGTGCGCTGGTGCAGCAGGTGGTCAGGCGCTGGCATATTTTACCGGGTGACGTTCAACTCGCACCGAGCCAGTCCACTACTGTTTTGGTCGGGTCGGTGCACCGGGGAGTCACGTCTCGGACTTGGTCAGATGAGGAGCTTCAACCGCTACACACCGGTCACCCAACATGCAGAGAGACCGACGGTAACCAGCGACTGCTGTGGCCATCGTGATAGAATACTGTGTCGCCCGGTCTCCGGTGAGGATGGGACGCGTGATGTTTGAAGTGCACCTCTGTGACTAGAAAGGTTGTTCCGTTTATACGGTTATCGCGGTCCCGCGTATACATGTAGGGTGCGACGTTTTGGTGTCGTTCGCCGAGACGTAGCCGCGGTAGGAAGGAGTACAGTCTGGATATGGTTTTATTTATTGTGCTGGACAAAACAATTGTTGTTCGGAATCGGCATGACTAACTTTTCTCGTCTTTATGTTCTACCAGGGTCTAGACCCCACGCCCCTCCGCATAAGGTAAAAAGGTATCAGAAGCAGCGGACGAACCTACAGCAAGCACGAAATCAAAAGACAGACCTTAAAAACATATAAAAAAACAAATAACCCCCCCCCCCAATGGTGACGCGTAACAGCATAAAACGATTTGCCCATAATGTAAAAAAAAAACATTTTTGTAAAAACTAGTTGGTGGGCTCGGACTTTAAGCGTCCACTAAGAGCTTAATGTGTCTCGTCTGGGGGGTGCATTGTGCCTTTGATGTATATAATAATATACCATAACCAAATACTATTACGTACAGTGGAAATCAGGTTGCCAGAGCAGGTCAGTGTGCACTGTTCCTCAGGGTCTCAGCAGTTACAGGTGAGGTAAAGAAATAAAAGAGAAAAAGGTCAGTAACAACACTTTAAAGTAACAACACTGAATAATTATCTCTTTTAATAATTTTCTCTCAGTAATCACTCAACTACTGTCTTTCCAACAAACAGATTGACTCACCCTCACTGTCATCACAATGACACACGTCCAGAAGAATGTCATGCAAAGCTCCCTGCCTGCCTGCCTTCCTTCGACTCTCCCTGAACTGCTTCCTTAGCACCCGGTGGAGGGCGCAGTAGGCTACTCTTCAAATGTTTCATGAAATACTTACCATGATGACTACTCTTACTGTTTAACATTTTGGTGTACTTCATGTAATAAAATAATAACTTCATGGTAAGGCTACTAAAAATTACAAGGCTAAGTAATGTAATGCTAACTAACGTGCTCGCTACTCGTCGCTACTAGCTAGGTAGCTAACTTGACTATGTTCCATGCACAACATGTATATTACCTATGATATTACCTGATATGTCTGATCCAGCGACTCCTGGTCCTTTCATAAGACGGGAAGCGATAGAACGAGCAAGTGGTATGATCACTTTTGTGATTACAACATGGTACAAAGCACACAGGCATGTTGTAAAAGTGAATTTATTGGAGCAATCTCTTATATTTATTGGAGGGAATAAATCAGTTATGAAATCTTCTTCTTCGCTTTAATTACGAGTCGCAACCACTTGGAGCATTATCGCCTGTGACATCACATGCGCGACCCAGAATGGGATTTGGGATTTGTAGTCGCGCCTTTTTCATAGTCTTATATTTCAACAGTTTTACGACAAAATGTGACTTTTTTGACATGGAAATGATTGTTTAAGATTGAAAAACATCATAAGTGTAGTTCGTGGCACAATTCAAACGGGATCAAAAGATACGTTTTCTCTCTCCATTGAATTCAATGTATAATTTTTCGCTTCCGGGGTCCCATGGACCGAAAGTAGATGGGCGTGACTTCGCCAGCACATTGTACGTGATAGGCTAAGGGGTGTGACATCTCTCAGCAGTTGACCAATCACAGAAGAGACGCCCAGCTAACCAATCAGAGCAGACTGGGCTCTGGTTTCAGACAGAGGGTGAAAAGAGGTGCTGCAATACAGGCAGTAAGAAAAAAATAAAGACTTGTTTGAACATTAAAGCATGGACACATGTCACAGGGGCACTAAATACAAATACCAACCTGAAAAGCAGAATATGGTCCCTTTAATAACTGAAAAAGCCTCTTTAGCAAATAGCAGCTACTTATTAACACATCTTAATGTAATCTCTGTGATCTCTTAAGTACATTTCCCACAAAGCCTCGTAAATCTAAAATGTGATGCCCTTTCTGAAGAATAAATTGTGTGTGTGTAATCTAGTTTGTATGCAGCAGCAGTTACTGGATGACTGTTGAGGACAAGACACCCTGACCTTTACTTCCTCAACAACATGTAATGCACTTGTCACTGCTGCTCTACAATTCATGGACCGCCCATGGAACTCGCTGCTCAGAATGACATCCTCAGATTTGTGTAATTAAAAACAGGCACATACAAACATATTGTAGCTTCACCTCGACGTCACTTAACTGCCGGACAACTTATGCCACCCTTTACAGCTCCATCTCATTAACTGAACACAACACATTTCTGCTAAAACGTTATGGTAATGTGCAAGTTATCAAAAGGAGCAGGTTCTACTTGAGTTACTGCTGTCAGCGAGGGCTGAACACATAATGACTGCTGCCTGCTGCTTAAACCTCTATAAAAACAGCATTATACACACGGCTGCTACTGTGTGGGTGTAACAGTTATGCATGGAGATACAAAATATAAGATGATAGGGCTTGTAGATGGAGAACTGAAATAGCACATTACTAGAGTGTGATATTTGGGGTTGCACGGACCACTGCACCTATTGGCCTTTTGCCCATTTAAGTTGCACAGTCAATCTGTTGTGTGCACTCATGCTAAAGAGTGAGATGCAGTGAAATCCCTGCTTAGGCCTCATATCTTCACAGCCAAGGGGGATACATTTTCTTCTTTAAGAAGCACATTTCTCATTACTTTTTTTGGAAAACCATTTGAATATCTATATGGACTTAATGTCATGCTTGACCTGCATTTCCCTATTGATGTAAGCAGAAATGCCAAAGACAGAATGATTTGCAGGGAACAATCAGGGATGGCATTAATGTTGACTTTTCTTTGTTTCTTATTTCAGTGCGTAGGTTTCAGTGCGTATAGGATTCAGTGGGATCCAGCGATGAGAGTGAAGATTGCAACCAACTAGCCTTCAGGTGACGTTAAAGTGAGAAAGGCTCATATTAGAGCCAGAGTTTGGTTTGTCCCTTCTGGGCTACTGTAGAAATGTGACTGTGTTGAAGAGGGCCGGCTCTCTATGTAGATATTAAGTGCTATTCTAAGCTAAAGATAATACAATGACTAAGTTCCAGGTGATTATACACATATAAACAGTTGTAAATATGTTGTTCTTTTAAATTCTTTCTTGTCCCTTGAATAAACTATGTTACAATAAAATATTTTCAGTTTCTTCATAACATTTCCAAATCTTTGACATTTGAGCTTTGTCTTGAGGACCGGAGTTTAAGGAGAAATAATACGATTACCCACAATGCTCAAGTATACTCTTTCAATGTGGAAATGGGCAGACCAAACATCCTACTGCATGCCAGAGGAAATATATGTTTTATTGTGGTCAGAAGTGTTGTGTTTTGCATCAAACTATCATAAGAAAAACATGCTTCATTTTATGCAATGATGTATTGAGTGTTGTCTAATAAGCTCTTGGTCGAGGGGTGCGTAGGAAGATACAATCCTGCCAAAGACAGTTATGAATTTGTACACACTGCCAACACTAGATTATCAGCATTGTAATCAGGAAATGCTTGGTTGATTTGTAAACATGTATTAAAAGTGTCTAAAGGAATCCAACATAATAAAGACTGCATCAATTTTTTCACTCTGCATTTTATTGCTCACATGATCTTGTTCACATTCCAACTCTAGTTTGCATGCAAATAAAAAGGCATCAGAGTGAGTTAAGCTGCAGCACAGCAATAAAGTTTATAATTGAATTAGGTGAATAACATTTGGTAATGTCAGTTCAATATCTGGGACGAATTAATGTTGTAATCCGAGCAGCAGCGAGCAGTAACAGCCTGCCGGAGAGAGTCCAGAAGTGCCGACATGATCTGCATCTTCTGATGTTTCCAGGGATCATTTACCTCAGAGGATAAATACTAAAATATTCATCAAAGGAATTCTTAGTTTATGAAAAATCTTATCCAGTTTCCTCCTGATTATATGATTTAGCAAAAATATAAAATCTTGTTAAAATAAAATATTCACAATTTAGTCTTTTTTTTTTTATGCGTGTGTTTGAAGTTGTCAGTACACAGGAGTGATGTAGTGCAGTGAAATCAGAAATAATTCAAAGAGTATTCAGAGAGCAAAGAGCTTTGCAACGGCCAACCTGCTCCAAATTGTAATGGTTGATCTTTGGTTGATCATGCCAAACCATTACACTGGGTTTTATAGAATTCAGGGCCGGTAGATTTTCTGTAATCCTGCTGACAAGCAAAGCGAAACGGAAAACATAACCTCCTTGTCGAGGGTAATAAAATCCAACCTCCAGTCAGGTTTTTTTTTTTGTCACCTCTGATTCACTGGAGCATGACAGTGGCTGAGGTGACCAGCAGCAGCAGGAGGCCAGACAACACTCGGCTGCCTCCTGAGGTGAGAGTGGCTCCGTACTGGTCCAGGAGCTGCAGGGCCACGCCATTGGTCCAACCGAAACCAAGCTACACACACAGCAACACAGTGAAGCATGAGCAACACATTCATTTTATATTTAGACACTTAAAAATAAAACAAATGTTCAATTTGTCTGAAGGAAATGCTAATACAAAATGTAAAGTAGAAAACAACACCCAACAGAGTAGAAGATTGCACAGAAAGAAGATGATAATGACAAAGAAGTGAGGAGTATACGTGTACATGAGCATGCAAATGTAGAAAGAATTAGCAGGGCTCTGCATGAAATGAGACAGACTATAAGCACATTAGTTCTACACCCTCAGCACATGAAAGAAAATACCTGAACTTCATATTCGCCTCCACCACCAGGTTTGCCGTCGCCATTCACATCATACTGTGTTGGAAGGAAGGAAACACATTCAGAGCCAGCTGTGTTATCACTGTGCTACATATCCGCTGACATGCTGTGACACATTTGGAAAAATCCGCCACATTTTACGTGGATGTACAATCAGGCTTGATGGATATTTCAATTGAAGCAATAGATTCCTAAGTGAGTGGTATTTTAACAGGGAAAGCTGGATTCTATGTCTAAAATCTGTTGTTTTATGCTGCATCCAGCAGTCATGTGACATTACAGTGACATAGTTGAAAAAAGGGGAAAAACTACACTCAGCTTTGTTTTCTAGGCAGGGGGCATGCTGTGGAAGCAGTTGAAAAATATAACACATTTTTCCATTGTATTGCAAACACTTACACAACTGAAAGGTTAGGCCAAAAAAGAGTGCAGAGGTATTTATTCGCCGAATAATTGCAGCGTAGAAAGCCCGAAGGTGCGGCTGCAGTTAGGAGGAAATGTCTGGCAGGGAGCCTCCTGTACCTGAGGTGCTGAGAGAGAACTTTGAATTGTGGAGCATTTGCTCAAATTGCGCTCCAAATGCTAAAGAACAAAATCATTCTGCTTCAATGGATGTCAGCTTGGACTGTTTTTGTTGGATGCTGTCGCCTACGGAGTGTTTTGCTTCGAGTGAAAGTTTGACTTCTCACTTGGACAGAGATGTGCTCCTGAATATAAACTGCAAAAAAAAAAACACCAGCAGGGTCGAGAGAGCATATAAGTATGATGTACGTCGCCTATTGTGAGCAAGTATTTTTTGTTGACGCTTAGCAAAATGCTAAGTGAATTTAAGTTGGCCTTTTATTGTGAAAATGGTATGAGCGAAGCTGTAAAAAAGTTGTTGCCAGCTTGGTTCACACTAGTTAGAATTACTCCCATGTTTTTTTCTTATTATATTTCCTGTCAACATAGCACTTACCGAGGATATTCATTTATAAGACTCACCTTTTCAAACATGGCTTCATACTTCATGTATGCAAGCCAGTTTGTCTTGATCCAACGCTGGGCTAAATCAAATGCTAGCTGTTTAGCATCCTCTGAAGGCAGTTTGGATAAACCTGGAAATACAAGAACGTTTCCATCATAACAGACCCAAATAGCTAACTCTCAGCATCAAGGTTATTCTTCTGGTCATGGCCCTTTTGGCTGGGATTGCATGGTAAACATTTCTGCCTGAGTTTCATAAAAAGATCTACAGGACAGTCATTCTGTTACAGATTTAAGCAACTAAGACGTTTTTAGCGACAGAACTCAAGCTACTCTCTGATCATGTGTCACACAGACAAGACCAAACTTTGGGATTTGAGCCTTTGCAGACCATTTACATGTACACACAAAAATATAACACTACAGGAAAGGGAGAACCTATACAAAAATGTATGAGGGCTCCTTTAACATTTCTAGAAAATAGGCTTTTTTTTCCAAGTGTTCAATGAGAGGGGAAAATGCATAAACCATGTTTGTTAGACTTCAAGAACACAAACAATGCATCTAGGCAACACTCACAAAATGATAACTTTGGATTGATTAGATGTTTAAGGGAGTGGAGGTAAGCAGCCTCAAATTAGACCTTAAACCGCTGTGCTTCTTTAGAAATGATTCTTAGAATAAAAACGGAAGGAACAATTGGATAAGATGTATTACACATTTCAAGAAGGTTAGCAGCAAATCAATTAACTGCTACCTACCCTCAATGAGCATGTGTTGCAAAGGAGGCCATGCGTTGGGATAGTCCCACTGCTGCCCAGACTCTCTCAGGGACGTCGGAACTCCATTGGGGAACTGGAGAGCACCGCTGCTCTGTACACACATTGAGAAAAACAGCAACCATGAGAGCATGCACAGATTAAACCAGTGCAGTGTGTGCCATCTGCTGGAGGACATGAGCAGTTTATAAGGCATTTGTAATGTCCTACGAGGTGGGCTTCTTAGCAGTCAGGATTCATGGCTGAAAAAACTCAAATGGAAATAAAAAAACAACAAATGTACATAAGTAATTCAGAAAAGAATATTAGGAAATATGAAATCACATTTATTGTTCTTTGAGGGAAAGGATCATACCACCATCTTACCATAGAAAAATTATGTTTGCAGTTTGATATGGGCTTATGTATAGTATGTATGGGTTAAAGGGTTGTTTCCCACAAATGGCATATATACATACTTATAATAGATTTTGGAAAACATTTCTACTTTTTGCATGGAAAAGGAAGACATTATTATTTGGTTTGCATGTACCAAATCTCATATTACCTGATATTAAGTCTACATTAAAACACATCACATGCAGACAGGACACATTCAAATACATTTAAATGAAAACACAATGAAGCTACATCAAAAAGGAGACTTGAATTTGAAAGAATTTTGCCTGTATAGTCCTTAAAGTCCTTGAATTTGATGTTTAAAAAGGTGTGAGAACACTTTGATGTAATTATACAGGACTTCTTATATTCAAGGGTTTTAAGTTTCTAATGTCCTGCACCCTTGTGTATTTAAATAGGGAGGACACAACGAGAAGCACCTTTCAATATAATAAGTCCATTACACACCATCTTTAATTATAACCTCAGTAAAAACTCAATTACAGCTGCACCTAATAAAGTGGTCCCATAATGTATTTTCCTACTAACACCAATTGGTATTTAGTCACAGTTTTGAATGCATTTGTCAAGATCCTGGATGATGAACCAATGCAAGGGTAGGATGGGAAAGGGTTGCGATGAAGACAACAAGGGAATTGTTCCTGATAAGTCAAAGTCAACTTTAATGTCAATCTTACTCAGTTTGTGTTTACAGACAGAGAGATCGAAATGACGTTAAGTTTATCTCAATCGACATAGTCACATACAAAGTTACCGACACAGCGTTGGGTTTTGTTATTTTAGTTCAGGCATTTTTTCCTATGCCAACTTGGTTTTTAGAATTCATGACAAAAAGAGGGTAGAACAAAAACAAAATATTTTTAGGGGAGCAAAATGTCAAAATGTACTTTCATGAGCTGAAAACACGAACTACAACGTAATAGCAACCTGAGAATCACAAGGTAGCCACAAGCTAAAATTACCATTCTGCTTTACACTTATCTTGTTTTCTAAATGGGACCATCATTTACAAAATGAACATCGACTTGAAACCAGTGCTTTAGACCATAAACTTCGTCAGGAAAATGTTTACCGAGGTGAGAGAGAAGTGGATTATTTTCTCAATGACTTCTATACGATCTGACTTTTTTCGGAACCAGTAGAGACTCCCCCTGCTGGCTATTGGCTTTACTTTTCCAAAGTGGATGTTGACGCTATGGTGACAGCAAATATTTCAGAGACAAATTTCTCTAAATGAGTTTGAATGAAATTAAACATACAAATACAGTGGGCCATAGCTGCTATAGATACCATATGAGATAAGTTGGGAAAAAAGTGCATCTTTTGTCATTTGGATGAAACAACCCTTCAGATAAACACTTGGCCAATAACATTATTGATTGTTTATAATATATTTGTGAATATATTTGCGACCACAATGAAGACAAGAATTACTTCCAACCTTTAGATACTGTACTGCCTTCTCTCCCATCTCAGGCCCAGAATAGCATTGGGCCCAAACAGGTGCCAGGTTGGATGGGTAAAACTCAAAGTGTTTGGAGTGTGTCACCAGGTTGAAGTCAAACCAGGCTCCTCTCTCAGCATCCCAAAGCAAAGACTCTATGGCCTCCAGTCTGCGGGCGGCTGCCTGGTCATACTGTGCGGCTGAGTCACCATAACCTGTCAGGAAACAGCACATCATTACGTAACAGCAGTTTGGGGCTAAAATAATTATGCAGGCAAAGAAAAGTTAGTGCCAAGGTCAAATGATGCTCAAGTACTTACCCAGTATCCTGTGAAATGAAGCAAGAGTCTTCTCAGTGAGGCACAGCAGGGCATTAAGGTCAGTTGGCAGGATTTGGCTGGTTCTGGTGTCCCCCAGGGTGCCGTTGTTGTGCCCATCACGATCTACATACCAGCGGGATGTGAAGTCCCAACCAGACTCTGCACCCGCTTTCAGTTCCATCCACAGCTGCTCCTTGCGGTCTGAAGGTAAGAAGAAAAACAGTAGAGCCACAACAAATCAGCATCCACAGTGTTGTACTTATTCTGTGTGTCATGTTTGTTAACTGGATGTGGAAAACGCTAAATATGCAGCCTCTGAAAAACATGTTTGTTTCAGTTTTGTTTGTTTCAGACTATTTGTTATTATTAAATATATTCTTACATAAAAGGAAAACATTTTCAGGAATCTGTGCACTGCAAACACATTTCGGATTTGTTTTTCTTTAGCATCTTGCAAAACAACCGAGTCTTACCCCTTCGAACAGCTTCTCTTAAAATAATGGTTAAGAGTCAATGTGAAATAATGAATGTTTATTCATTAAAACATGGTACTGACTCATTTTCCGAGTGGATATGTTTGGCAAGAATTATCCTTGAATAATTGTTCTGTTGGAGAGAGCTTATAATTAAGCAATCATAAACGAGAGGACGTTCTTGAACGTCATTATTGGTACGACAGTACTGCGGCAGGACCGAGGCGCTTGCGCCGAGTTCCGTACGCCTGTACTGCAGCCTTTCAATATAATGAAGTCCATTACACACCATCTTTAATTATAACCTCAGTAAAAACTCAATTACAGCTGCACCTAATAAAGTGGTCCCATAATGTATTTTCCTACTAACACCAATTGGTATCTAGTC